AAACTATTTTATGTCGTGTAGGTCCCATTGGAACAACCAAATGTACCCCTTATGAGACCTTCCTTAACAAGGTCAAAGAATCAGAGATTCCACTACCTACCAAATTGAACGTTAAGCAGTTCAAAGGCAACACAGCATTTAACGTCTGTGCACAAGAAATTCAATCTACTATTGACACTGTTAAGAAGCGCCAATCTCTAGCTAGGACTCTGTTTAATAACATAAAGTCCAAGCCCGAGGTCTTTCAAACCTTATTTTTAAAGAGATTAATGAAAGACAATCCTGAAGCATATATACATATAATGCGACTATTTAATAAGTCAGGTGTATCCGACGCACATGAGCGCGATTATGACGCTCATGCAAAAGCAGGACAGGAGTCTGAAAACACTACAGACTTAGAGACCACGCAAGTGGATTCTCAACACCCTACCTTTATTCTGGAGGAGCAGAATGATAAAAACATTCTTGCTTGGCTGACGCAAAACCATAAGCTGAAGCATCAGAACGTAGTAGACGCACTTAAAGATGTTAAGCGAAATGGGATCGCGCACCCTAAGCTGGCAACTTTAGTTGACAGAGTATACCAGTCATGCTCAGACTGTGATCTCAATCAGATCAAGCGCTATGGTTTTGCACCGCTTAAGAGTGTGACTGAAGATGTTCCATGGCGCAGGGTCATCATTGATCTGGTTGACCTGCCCACGTCCGAGCACACAGGCGACCGTTACGTATGCCACTTCTTTGATGTGGCGTCACGGTTTAACTTGCTCTATCCATCAAAGGATAAGAATACGCAGACCGTGGCAGAAGTATGTTACCAAGTCTTTGCTGACGGTAATATGTGCACTGATAACGGTAGTGAGTACTGCGGTGACAATATGAAATCGCTAGTACTCGTATCAGGCATATGCCATAAGAGAGGTGTGCCATATGAGCCGCAAACGCAAGGCGCGTAATGAAACGCGCCATAGAAAACTTAAGTTCTTCGTGCGTACTGCATTAACGGATGATGCAGATGATTGGCCGTACCAGCGTAAGTGAGTACAAACATAAATGAATGAGTGTGCTGATCCGGTCACAGGAACTACACCCGCTCACTATTTTCGTGGCAGATATAGTGAGTTACAAATACCCTTTAACAAGGACGAACCTGATCATCATGAGTTACCATGGTTAGAGAAGGTACAACGTATTTATAACGTTGTATATCCTTGCTTGCGAGAAATACGCAATATAGCCTTATTAAAAAGGCAAAAGCGTTGAAACACTACCAAGAAGATAGCAGAGTATCAGGTTGTAAGATTCGGTCTAATAAAGGCGATACTAATGTTTTAGAATAGATATACGCGTAGGTAAATTATAATCTTATCCTTTAATGGATAGAGCAAGTTAAACGGTGACGCCACATCAAAGAAGTGTCTCTTAAGGACTAGCTTGGACAAGAAAAAAAATTGTGATAGTTAATCTACCTTTACGTTTAAGTAGTCTAAGTAATTAATACCTTTGCTAACTTTAAAATGTGTAAGATTCAGTCTCTCAAGGCGATATTAACGCCTTAGAATAAACAAACGCGTAGGTAAATTCTAAGTATCGTGAAAATATCAAAGTAAATAAATGAAATAAGACATTTAGTAAAGTTAGGTATGCCTCGTGAAAACAGCAATACTCTGAGGGATTGTGAGGCTGAGAAATTGCCTATATATAATCCTCTCAGTACTGTTTCCGCCGAAGGGATTTTATTTAGTGTTTCGTTGTCGCTCTATTAGAAACTATGGTATGTTTCACTGGGGCGAACTCGAGAGACTCATAAAATCATATCTTTAGAAGAAGAAGAAAAAATACTCTTGATGTCCTTAGTTATTGTCTTAACCAATAACTTGCCACTATCAAGAATTACCGACTTAGCCTTCATCAGACTGGCACATCTGGTTGGCTGATCGGAGGATCAACTAGGTAACGTTAATAGTCACTAGAAACCTATATTTGGATGAGCTATCTCGCTACCGAAGTATTCAGATATAAATAAAGTTGGAAAGTAAATATAGTTCTATTAATAGAACTAGACCAACTTTTAAGTTTGGTATTTTACTGAGGCCTTTCAATGGTCTCGTCCAAATATCTAATATGTAAAATGGAAAAGGTACTTAAGGACTCGTCTGACTAATGCGGCGTGTTCGCCCTTAGTTTTAGAGAAGATGACTATGTCATCTATATAGACTTGCACGTTAGGCATGTCTGCAAACATTTCCTCCATTACTTGTTAGAAGAATGCTGGTAAAGATTGTAACCGAAAGGTGCACCTCTGAACCGGTATTGTTTACCTTTCGACGTAAAACTAAAGTATTTACGATGTGGTTCATATATCTGCATTTGATGGTATCCTTGTGTAAGGTCTATAGTTGTAAATACTGTAGCACCTTCCATCCTTCGCAGTAGCTCGTTAATACGAGGTAGGCGAAAGCTATTAGTCGGTAAAATTTTATTTATCGGACTCATATCTAAACATACTCTGACTTTCTTAAACGATCCGTCAGAGTTATGTTGTTCTGCAGCTAGCAATGCCAAGTTAACTGGCGTCTGTTGATAGATAAATTCTATCACTCCATCTGCTAGCCATTTCTCAACTTGTGTTAGAGTGTAAGATGGTAGTCTTTGAATAAAGTATAATTGTATATCTTTATTTACAACCTCACCTTTGGTTTTATACTCATGGTGTTTGTGCTAGTGTTCAACCGCTTGGGTTGGCCAGGGTGACAAATCATATGGTCAATATGAGAAACCTTTTGCAGAACACTTTAACACTTAGATATTGTTCTATAGCATAATATCTGCTACTCGCTCTTACGCCGATCAATTAATGTTGCTTGGCTTTCATAGCAATTCTCTCCTAGCTATCGGCTTTCGGAGCAATGCTCTCATAGGAGCAAAAGTATTATTAACACGATGTGGTTAATAATTTGATCCGCTTTTCGGAGTGACGCAACTCTTGTGATTTCATTCAAGAAAAAGAGTTTTCTTGCTATTGAAACTTGCTTGAGATCTGTAGTCTCTCAACTTGTTCTTTTACCACAGCCTCGTGTCTCCAGGATACATAGTTCCTTGAGGGACACTTCAACTGTGTAAAGTCCACCTTGGTTAAGTCAAGGCTGACATATCCGTCGATAAAACGGAATTTTGCCCCAATTTGTGATCTTTATCTTCTTATTAACCAGAATCAGATATATGATTTTGTTCGCAAAGTCAAGTATGAATGCCTTGACTGTGTCTGACGGGGGCTTATATTGATTCAGACAGTTATCGTATGATTGATCCTATAATGGATCTATGTTATTCGGTAAACCAGCTACGGTTACACCCAGAGTGAGTAAATCGCTCATTCCGACTATAATGTCGTACTTCTGTGACATCTTAACTATCACAGCTTGGGTAGTGATACTCCTGTCATCGGCCAGGGAGATTTTAACATTTGTGGCCATCGTATCACACTTAAAAGTTTTGTCATCAGCTAAAATGAAGTGAGTTGTTTGTGTTCTCCTTTCGATATCTTTCATTAATGCAAAGCGATCGGATATAAATAAAATTTCTGAACCAGGATCAATCAACGCAAGGATTCTATTTTCATTGCAATATACAGGTATTATTACACGCTCGTCTAAAGAGTCGTTGTATTTTCTTTGTAACGATTGTACCCGGTAGTATCGTCAGTCCAATTTAATGTCGGGTCTGACGTTACACGATTTAGTGTGGTAGCCATTGGTCTTCTCACATTTATCGCATTTTGTAAGATAGTGTCTACAATATTGGGCACGCTTTCCGTTCCAGTAACCGATAGAGGTTAACTGGTACATGTCATAACCACATTTCTCATCAGCACAGTTCTTAACTTGCTTGTATGCAGGTTCCTTGTGCTCCGCACGCACCTTCTTAACAGGGCGTATAAATTGGGTAGATTCACGTGGACGTGTATGTTGGGGTCTCTCGTTTGAGGTCTGCCTGGATACATACCCTTGATCGGTCTGCTCCCGCGGTTTCTTAACAACCACCTTCTCCTGCGAGGTCATTCGCTTTTTAAGAGCGGCTAAATGATTCTTAAGTTTAGTGTTCTCATCGATCAACTTACTTATGTGCGATGGCTGGTTTGATTCTGATTCGGGTCGGCTCTCTAAGTTTTCCTTCTCATCCTCTCCCTCGAGCGGGTTGTCTCCTTTCTCCGTAATTGGAGTTAGATCCTTCTGATTGTCCTCATCAGGTTTGGTAGGGATCGTCTTAACCGATCCTTTTGCGTGGCTTCTTGGCTTCGTAAACGTAAGCTTCGAAGCAGACGCAATAGTTGGCCCGCGGGCTCTTTCTTCAGGGGACTTCTCTCTTAATGGAAAGTCTTCATCCTTATCTATTGTATTGTCCTGGTTATAAATACCAGCAGCAATGATTTCGGTTACGGATTGATTGTCCTCTTCTGCGGTCGCGTTAAATGCGGCAGCAGCAGCGGCGTCTCTCTCCATCCTCTTCTTTTCAGCTCTACGCTTCTTACAAGGAGTATTGTCTTGCTTGGTCACAATCTTAACTTATGACTGCTAGCTTGTCTCTTAAGGACTAGCTTGGACAAGAAAAAATTTGTGGTAGTTTTCTACCTTTACGTTTAAGTAGTTTAAGTAATTAATACCTTTGCTAACTTTAAAATGTGTAAGATTCGGTCTCTCAAGGCGATATTAACGCCTTAGAATAATTAAACGCGTAAGTAAATTCTAAGTATCGTGAAAATATCAAAGTAAATAAACGAAATGAGACTTTTAGTAAAGTTAGGTATGCCTCGTGAAAACAGCAATACTCTGAGGGATTGTGAGGCTGAGACATTGCCTATATATAGTCCTCTCAGTACTGTTTTCGCTGAATTAGTGTTTCATTGTCGCTCTATTAGACACTAGGGTATGTTTCGTTGGGGCGAATCTGAGAGACTCATAAAATCCTATCTTTAAAAAAAAATAAAAGAAAAAAGAAAAATACTCTTGATGTCCTTAGTTATTGCATTATCCAATAACTTGCCACTTATCAAGAATTACCGACTTATCCTTCATCAGACTGGCACATCTGGTTGGCTGATCGGAGGATAAACTAGGTAACGTTAATAGTCCCTGGAAACCTATATTCGGTTGAGCCATCTCGCTACCGAAGTATTCATATATAAATAGATTTGGAAAGTAAATATAGTTCGCTTATGGTTGGTATTTTACTGGGGCCTTTTAATGGCCTCGTCCAAATATCTGATATGTAAAATGGAAAAGGTATTAATTAATAAAACCATTAAAAACCATTTAGGAAACTTAAGTTCCTTGTACTATTAAGAGTACTTTTTAAATATACGTACTGCTTAAGAGTACGTTTATAACATAGAGTCTAATGTGGAGGCCCGGCTATTACAGAGGACGAGATTGTCCCCGACGATGTCGATGCTGATGCTGAGGAAGCAGGCATTGATGCTGAGGAAGCAGGCATTGATGCTGAGGAAGCAGGCATTGATGCTGAGGAAGCAGGCATTGATGCTGAGGAAGCAGGCATTGATGCCGAGGATGCAGACGACGACGCCGATCTAGCTGAAGAGGACTAAATTATTTAAATATATATATAAATTTTGCCCCCAAAAGTTTGAGTGAAGTTTGAGTGCGTTGTTTGAGGAAATTTTCTAAAATTTTCATCGAACTTTACGATGTAAATAACTTGATAATTTGTCTCGATATTTGGGAGATAGGACATGAATACAGTTCCTTTTATTTATTTAAACTATTTAACATAAACAATGTACACATTAGCTGTATAAATATATAAATAACTATAAAATATAATTACTAAATAGTATTTACTAGTTCATTAACATAGTACAGTACTATACTTACTATATTAGATATCAAATTAGTTCGTTTATGTATTAATAAATAACCTAAAATTAAGAACGTTCATATGATTTCAATATAACTTATTGGGTTTATATCTTTTATTTATCTATTTAACATATACAAAGTCATATCGCTCAGTTTGGGCTTTAATGGTAATTGTGATACCAACATTAGCATGGCCTCATTGCGATATTGTATCTGTATCTAAAATCATAATCTATTGTATCTAAAATCCTAATATATTGTATCTAAAATCCTAATCTATTGTATCTAAAATCCTGCGCCCATGTTTGTATCGTCCCCATGATCGTCATCAAAAACTCTATTACCAGCAGCTGGTGGGGCTGTTCTTGCAGCGAACACGCCATTGGGCTCGGTCTCATCCCCATCTTGGGGGGAAACCCGCTGCCACCTTAGAATACCCACATAAGACATCAACTGTGGGTAAGAACGAGTTTCAGTATCCCACGCTAATGCTTGTAGTTCCTCTTTCGCTCTATCCTTCTCCAGATGCAACACATTTTCGGGGTCATTCACTGTTGTGCCCAGCGAGGCAACACCACCGGTGCCCTCCACTTCCTCAACAAAATTAGGCCTGCGTGGGACAAAGCCACGATACATCATGGAAGGCACGCCGACGGCTGCAAATATCTGCATCGGCATTGCAAGAGCTTCAAAAATCTCTTCCCCGTCGGTGCCATCTGCAAGCTTTATTTCGTAGCAGTGTCAACGGGTGACAATGCTCGCGGAAAGTAGTTTCCCGTGTAACGCAATCTACATCACGCTGCCGCTTTCCCTCTCTAACCCTCTTGTTCATGGCGTCTAGCGCCTTGCTCTGGTTGATTGCCTCAGAGACTGGCGCATTACCCAGATCAATCAGACCCTCTGCTTTATTAGCATGGCTTATCTTAATTCGTTTCTGGCGACTGTATTGAAGAGCCATAGTAACGCGTTCTATCTCGCGGTCTGGCCCCATACCCTCCTCTACCCGTAGCTGCGTATTGAGTCGTTGCGCTATTCCACCGTGTTGTCTTGTATTGCCACGTATTGCCTCACGTCCTTCTGCTTTCTTAAATACAACCCAGACTTGCATGAAAGTTTCTCGCGACCGTGAAGTAGCCGCACCTTTTGCATAGTTCTTAGTAACCTTATTGAAAGAAGCTAAGAGCCGTTTCTGATATTGAGTACAAATTGTAATAATAAGATATAGATGTGTCTATGTAGATACGAATATGTGGACACAGAGATGTGTATGTGTATCGCAAATATTCAGCGACCTGGAATACTCGCGTGCTGGTCTACCAGCAGCCAATCGAGATTCCAGGTCGCTGAATATTTTCTCGCAAGTGCATGCACATGTTCTTGTGCATGCACGGTATGTGTATATGTATATGTATATGTATATGTATGTGTATGTATGTGTGTGAGTATGAGTATGAGTATGTATGTGTATGTATGTGTACTGTCATACACATAGATGCACGTTTATGTAGTGGTGGGTTTCTCTGTTCCTGCACCACGTGCCATATACATGTACTATGTGTATGTATGTGTGTGTTATTACTGCAAGCACTGCGACCAGCACAGACACCTATATACGTGTATATGTAAACATACATGCGTCTATGTGTACTGCCATACACATAGATGCACGTATGTGTATGTGTATGTGTATGGGTATGTATGTGTATGTATGTGTACTGCCATCCACATAGATGCACACATGTGTAGTGGTGGGTTTCTCTGTTCCTGCACCACGTGCCATATACATGTACTATGCGTACTTCGAGTAAAAAAGATTACTTACCTTAATCTACATACCCTATGGGGGTTGAATCTCATTATACTTACGTTTATGTCCATGCTCTGTATAAAAACAGGCAATATAATCCTAAAAACGCTATTTAATATAATCACCCTAAAACCGTAATATAATCACAATAAAACAAACCATATTTCTTACCTTGATTGAAAGGTCGTCGTTTCCAGCTGAATCCACTACCCATAGCGGGTTATGGTCGTCTTGTCGCTGTTCGCCAAACTCCTTGCAGCTGATCACAGCGCGCTTGTGCATATCTGGGGCCCCCGTGAATGGAAGAGTAAATTCATGCGACCCATTCACCTTCAATCCCCCCTTCGTTCCGCCCACTGCGTTCTTCTTTGATGTTGGTTGTGCTCGCCACTCGTTAATAGTATGGTTAGCCAACAATAGAATTTGACGCTCTAAATTAGCCACATCAAACATATCTACCAATGACATTAAGCATACATCAGGGGATCCCTCCTTGCCTCTGTTACTGAATGATCTTGTGTTGTTTCCTCTATTAAACTTTACCTGCACGTGTAGGGATCGCTCTGGTGGATCAACACGGGGCATTCTAGCCCATAAGGCATTCCACTCCGCATTGGGATCTTGTCCTTCTTCCTGGTCCGACTCGCCACAGTCACCAATATTAAACTCTGGCATCTGCCCGCTGTCCATCCTGCGAGAGTGGGGTGGAGAGAATACCTCTTGCGCTCCAACTCTGACGGCCGAACCCGAGTATGGGCTCAATATTATAATATCATGCCTCGTCCTTAGCCGCTGTAGTTAGTTTGTTGTTCCCTACTGTAAGTTAACCCTGCAAACTTCATGCGGTTCGCGTGAGCGATACTGTCCATAGGACCTGGTTTGCAGTAGTAGCACGAACCAATACTGCCTGCGCCCTCTGCATCACCAACATCTTGACAGAAAGCGTGAACGGCTCTATTGCAAATGCTGCAAAAGTGCGAGTTCAAATCTCTCCCTAACAGGCAGAACGCACAGCCTTCATTATTCAAGGCGCTTGCCGTCAACGGATCTTCTAATATAGAGCGATGCGTGATAAAATAGTATAGACCAGACCGTGCTGGAACGTGCTCCCATAACAAGGGCGTTGGAAAACCACACTTGTTTTTACCCCAGTTCTCGCATTACTGTCTATGCTAGTACGTACACTGGTCGCAGCACGTGCAGTAGTGTCTGTGCTGGTCGCAGCACGTGCAGTAGTGTCTGTGCTGGTCGCAGCACGTGCAGTAGTGTTTGTGTCAGTTGCAGTATGTACAGTAGTGTCTTTGTTGGACGCAGTACGTGCAGTAGTGTCTGTGCTGGTTGCACCACATACAGTAGTGTCTGTGTTGGTCGCAGAACGTGCAGTGGTGTCTGTGCTGGTTGCACCACATACATTAGTGTCTGTGTTGGTCGCAGTATGTACAGTAGTGTCTGTGTTGGTCGCAGCACGTGCAGTAGTGTCTGTGTTGGTCGCAGCATGTGCAGTAGTGTCTGTGCTGGTTGCAGCTCATGCAGTAGTGTCTGTGTTGGTCGCAGCACGTGCAGTAGTGTCTGTGCTAGTCGCAGTATGTGCAGTAGTGCCTGTGCTGGTCGTAGCACGTGCAGTAGTGTCTGTGTTGGTTGCAGCACGTGCAGTAGTGTCTGTGTTGGTCGCAGTATGCGCGGTAGTATCTGTGTTGGCAGCAGTACGTGTGTTTAATTTTGTACCGCAATCTCCTTTGCAATGAATTGGTGCAACGATGTTTTGCACCTTCCTGATCGTTGAATAGTGTTTTCCGTACGAGGTTATTATCGCGTGCATCGTTTACTTCATGAGCGCGTGCTTCGTTAACTCTGTTAGTGCGTTCATCGTTTGAATGTCATGGGTTTGTTACTAATCTCTGTGATCTACTGTGCGTTTGTTTTAAAGCTAATCGCGCAGCTTTGGATTTACACTTACTAATTTCTCCATATACTTTCCTAGGTTGCGCTATGGCTATTGCCTGAAGGCCCGAAGCTGAAAGTTGATTGATCTGTCTTGGAATTTGACGTGATGCATGCGATGCATGCGATGCATGCGGTGGGGACGTACGGCGTACACTGTGTTGTGTACTGCCTGCACTGGGTGGACTTTGCAATGAAGTTTCTTTGCAGAACACTTCATCATCACTACTTGACATACTACCACTACTTGGCATACTGCCGACTATCTTACGCTAACTTATCTTACACAGTACAGTTACTTACTTACAGAACTGGATATAATCAGGAAGTAATTCTACATATTTATCAAAATAAATCAATAAAGTCTACGGTAAACGGTCGCAACCGGTGGTAAACAACGATAGTGTCAACTATTTAAAACTGCAACAGACGGTTTATAATTCGCTACCAACGCTATCTCGTTGTCCACCACCGATAGCAATGTTTGTCCTATTCTGTGTGTATCATTTCGTGTGCGTACAAAAATGTCTCTATGGTCTTAAGAACGTACCTTGAGCCATTGATTTCGTGGACCGGTCTGGACTTTGAGTGCAGGGGTGCGTATCGTTGGCATCTTCTGATTGGCTCGACTAACAGCGAACTTATATAACGTTGTGAAACTTCATTTACAAAATGTGTGATACAAAATTTGATTTCATTGGATTAATTTTAACTAAAAGCCACTAGAAAAGAGTTTGAATCTTCGATATCGTCAGTTGAGAAAATGAAATGTCGGTTTCAGAAAAAAATATTTAAGACGTCTTGACCAATGGAAATACATGATTTATTCTGGTTAATTGTCGACCTAGGCCTTAGCACTGGCTGTAACTTTTCCAAAATACCTGGAGGCTACAATATCAGTCTATCACACATTCAGTCATTCACACACTTCATTCCTCAATCCACATGACATTTGTCATCGTTTTGATTTGCCACAAAAAAAAATACACGGCCAGTTATGAATAAATACTGTCGACCAGTTCTCACCTTGACACCCAGCTACTTGTGATTGGTATCGTTACTGGTCCCTATTTATATGGCTGGTTAGCTCAGCGGTAGAGCGTAAGATTCCAAACCTTACGGCCGGAAGTTCGATCCTTTCACCGGTCAGATTTTTATTATTATTTATAAATTCGTCTCATTTGTATGTCAGATTTCTCCGTAGTGTTCATACTTTAATATTGTGATGTCCGGCGTAGGGGGCGATATTCACCTGACACCTGCGGCTGCCGTGTTGCATACAATACAAATGTACACATAGTTAAATTTTTATAGAATATGTAAATGAGGGGCGAATCATTCCAACAATCTGTGGATAAAACAGGTGTTCAAAGTCGAACTCACTGTCAGACTGCCGATTGTCAGACGGTATCCTTTTAATATATAAAAACCAAAACTGTAATCTTAGATCGGCTCAAAACACAATGTAACGGTGAACTTAGTATTAACTCCTCGATTGTTGAATAAACGTCTACCTTAGCAGAATAAACTTCTTGAATGAACTAAACCACGTATTTATACTATTTCCGAAGGATTTCCTTGAGAATCCTGCCGCCTATCATATAGTATATCTTCTTAATTTCGAGCCTACAAGTTCATTCAACATATATCGTCATCTGCCAACCTCCAGCTCATATTACCCCGCACTTCGGTACGCAAAGCACCAATCATACACCAACCTCCTCGTCTTTCGAGCCTGAGCGGCCGTTCGCCAACAAACCGCATTATACAACTTAGAACTTTTCGAACTTATTAGTTTTCACACTTGCAAGTTATCGCCCACACTTACAAGTTCTCGCACTCTTATGACGCCCAGGAGCATTACCCAACAGTTCGGTACTTACAACACCAATATTGTTTTAAATCGGAGGTAAACATGGTTGACACTACAAACCTGTTTTGGGGTTTTTTTGGGCTCGACTGTCTGGCGTCTGCTGGTACCTGGAGGCCTGGCGCCCTGGCACACTACTCTTACTCTCTACTCTCACGTGAGAGGGACTTAGAGATATGGGCGAGGGCACACCGTGTCACCGGCACAGACGTACAGTATAGTGTAAATACTAAACACAGTCACACTCACACAGCGGTTGACACTTGACAGTTGACAGTCTTGTGAGTTGTCATCAGTTGTGACTGTGACACAACAGCTATTTGATTTGATTTTTTTTTAAACCAAAAGAAACATAAATATAGAATGAAACAGATACATAATTAAAAAAAAAAGAATCAATAAAAGGGAAATGTTTGATTTAGAAGGCTATGAAAACACATTTTCTGAGAAAAATAAGGAGATTTTCTTTGTCTGAAATCAGTGAAATGGATCAGGATATAAATCAAACATTAGAAAGCGGGGAGTCGCCTAGTCGGGTACTCCCCGATTTTAATCTCAGACGTATCAGCGTTTTTGTTTTTGGTTTTTAAATTGATATTATTTTTATATATATATTTTAAAATAGCACGAAATTTTACTCATACTATGCAAAATTGCAAATCTTCGTGGCTCATACAGTCATGCAGCCAGCCGACTGCCGACTGCCGACTCCGAGTCACTTCTTGTTGTGGGTCGGTTGTGCAGCTGTGTTACGTGAGTGCCCGACGGCCCGGGTGTGACTCAGTGTGAGCCTGCTATGAGGGCCGTGACTGTGAGTCCGTGACTATTTAGTAATTACGCGAGTCCGTGAGCTCCGAGTGGCGGAGGCTAAATATACTTTTAGTCTTTTACTTTAGCCAGCGAATTGCGGTTTATGGACTAAAACCTGCTTAAACTTGTGGAACAGTTCATAGACCAATTCGGATACCTTATTTGTAATTTGGCGGGTCAAATGTCAGACTTGAACGGAAACTGACAAAACACTTTCGTGTGACATTAAATTACCAACGGTCGGTCTGGAGACGAGAATGGAAATACGACGACTCTCGTGTGACAAAGATATAAAAAGCAGTACAACTGTCGGTTGTAGCTTCACTTTCATTAGCTAAAGCTACAACCAACACAAGACAAATAAATGCATTCTAACGTTTATCCCAACTCGTGTCGTACTGTATAGGCTCTACAATTTGTCTTATGGTTGTTGAGCTTTAACTAACTGGGCTCTCCTTCAATTTACCACTATGGGTAGAAAAACCAAAACATCTAACAACAACAGACCTAAGGGCAATGTTCCTCGTGTTCTTCATTTTGATCCTGATCGCCCAATTGTTCCATGGGTCCGTAATTTTCACGCTTACGTCGAAGAGATACCTTTCCGCAAGCTGGATAACCGCTGTACAACTTCCGAACGCAGCGCTAAAATCAATACCTTCATGAAGTTTGTTGATCAGCCATCTTGGCATTTGATTGATCCATGGCTGACCCCGTCTGCTACACCTCAAGAGTTCACCTCTATTGTCAAACTGAATTTGGCCCAATGGCTAATATTTTCTTCAAGCCCGGAAATGACCCCCACATCTACCGCTTTGCTCAGCAAGTCCGTGGCCCTGATGGGAATAACTCATACCACCGAATTACATGGCTTCAATAATTCCATGAGATGATGGTCAGAGTGGCCATAATCCTTGGTCACCGCGAACTCGAAAACATGCAATCTGCTAAGTACAATCGAAATCCATCTGCCCGCTTGGCTCTTGAAGCTAAAGCTTTTATGCCTGCCAAATCTATGCTGATCTCCGTTCAGCCTTGCTTGCTACCCGCAACTTTAGTGTGAAGAAACCAGAAACTACTGCCTCTTCCGACCCTCCTCCGCAGCCTGATGCTGTTACTACTACTGTACCCGACCCAACTTCTGCTAACGATGTTCCTGAGGATGATGACAATAACTCTACTGATTTATCAGATTCATCTTATTCTTCTCCTCGTCCCCCGAAACCGGTAGGACCATTCCGTTGGTCTCGCTCTCGCAACCGTTGGGTTTATCGTTACAAACATGATGCCTTTAATTCTTCCGGTGAACTTAATGACTGGTATGATGGCTTCGTCTGGGATATCTACAAAGAAACATGGATCCTCGAGCACCCTGAGTTGTTCCACCAAGACCCCCGTACAAAGACTTGGCGTCATGCTTTGCCAGTTCTTCCTCCCATACATGCATCCATCAGCGATGACATGCTGTTGTCCAACCTCAAAGTAGGTGCTGACCGTGATTGCCGATCGGTTCACTCACTCCTCCTTCCTGTTGCCAATGACCCCTTCAACATGGATTGCCTCTATAAATTGCTCTGCTATGATGCAGACATCATCATCCAATTTCTGGATACAATGCATCAGAGGTTCAGCGATTTCTTCAACATTTGTCTAGACAACTAGGAGAAAGTATCTTTTCATAACTTACATATCTATGCAGGTTTTGCTTACGCTTCCGCTGTACTTGACGAGTCATGGTCCCGAAAGTTTCCGAACTATCCCCCAGCTGACCTTGTTGAGTGTAGGTGAGTACTCAAACCCACGAGCAAATAATCAAGACCGCGGTCGCTATAACACTTCTCGTTTTGATTCCAAGAATCGTGGCAATGGCCAAGCACCCCGCCTTCGTGATCGAAATGACCGCCGTGGTCAACGTAACCGGAATACATATCCTGCTCCACATCCCTTGGCAACTGCCTCAGTGGTTCCAGACCAGGAGACTATGTCTGAAGCAATGACGTCTAATACTAAAAATTCTCGCCAGGACCGCTCTCAGTCCCGTGATCGCCGTCCTTCTCGTTCACGAACGTCCCTTTCAAACCCCAGAACCCCGGGTAAAGATGAGAACGGTGAGGTTATTTAACTGATGGTATTCCCATAGGATGTGATATCCTATTCAGTTTTACGGCTCAACGAGATAATCTTATTGTTACCTATTGGGACAACACTACTTCCTCACCTACTTTTGGCTTGAAACTCCAGGCTCCTACCCCAAAACCTTCCTCTGTTGGTATTATACCAATCACATCCCTTCCTTTTGTGGGCATACTTGTTCGTGCCGAAGTTAATACTGCTGCTCTTGTAGAATTCCATCGCATATGCCGTGACGCACCCGGGGACCTAGAGGAATACGATTGGACAGGAATAGATTCATTAGCTATAAAGCTATCTAGATCACCTACTGAGGTCGATAAGCTCAAAGAAGCCTTTAACCGTATCCGTTACGATCCCGATAATCATAACTATATTACGGGTGTTGAGGTTAAGATAAAAATCAAGGTCAACACGCGCCCTCGGCGTATTATTTATAAACAAAAGAATCCACAATATGTTCAATGGGAACAGGAAATTTGTGCTCGTGACCATGCACGTGGAATTATTGAGCCCGGGAATTATTTTTGTCCGTGGATGTCTAGTGCTGTTCTCGCACGTAAGAATCCACGTATTAAACCCGCCGACGATATTGTTTCGACCATGGACATGGCCTGCAGTTTCAATCCGCTGCGTTATTATAAAGACTCTCGTGATTATCTCACGTGGATGACATCTACCGGCGACGTTTGGCGTCCTATTGCTGATGTTTTGGTGTCAAGATAATGGCCTATGCCTTACAGGAAGTCATGGATCGTAAATTTGCGGCCTCTCGCCAAGGCCTTAAGCACTTTGTTGACGATGGGTACATGGCACATTGGGGTACCACGGCCTTAGCTCAACATTGGCTTGATTTATCAGTGACGTCCTTAAGGTTTACTACGGCCGAGTCACTTTACATAATTTTACGACGATTTCTCAAGATCGTCTCCAAGCACTTATATCAATGCCACCCCCTCGGGACAAACACGAGGTACAAACCTTTTGTGCCACCATGAACTGATGGGCACAATATATACCAAACTTGGCTACTATTCTTGCCCCACTGACTGATCTTACTTCCAAGAATGTTAAATTTCACTACACTGCTGCCTGCCATTCAGCCTATACATTAGCTAATAACGCTATTCGAGGTACCATGATGCTTGTTACTCCACAACCTGAACATCATCTTCACATGTTTGCCGATGCTTGTCCTATCAGCATTCGCACTGGACTTTTTGTTCGAATCCCTCGGCAGCATGAACCCTCATCTCCACTTCCTGCTGGTTGGGTTCAACCACTAAGATCCAAAAGAATGGCTTCAGCAGACCAAGTTCTACTCCAGAATAAGCTTCAACAAAACTCACAGGCAAATACTTTCGTAAATCTACGACCCTACCCAACCTCGTCGCCGTCTTTACGTGCTGGCCTCAAGCGCCCTGCCACCCCAAGTGGTGCCGTCAACTTCACTCTCCCTGTTTATAAACGTGCTCGAAAAACTCAAGCCGAGCGTTATTCAGAACGAGAGTAACTATAATTAAACCGTGCACGACGTCTATCATGTGTTACGCATATGCCGGATTCTTCTTCACCTATTATCGATCCTCGTATCCATGGTTATTCCATCAACGGCATTGACCGTTTATACCCCGTTTCTTGTCGAAGCACGAAACTCAACCCTGCCCAACGTTGCTATCACACTTTTGACTTGGAAACAATATGGCATTGAAAAGGATGAAAGGACTATTACTGCTGATTACAACCCTTTATATATCTGGACTGATCACTAGAATGTGATCTGTTTCTTCCACCAGGATATGGTGTTTCCTAAGACAATTCGTGGTGATCGTCTCCTCCGTCTAGTCCAGAAGGTCCGTAAACATACAGTTCATATCCGCTACATTCCTGGTGAATGTAATTATATGGCGGACACATGTTGTCCCGTGCTCCCCAGCATTTGGACCCCATCATGCAGTTCACTCACAAGCGACTATCCTGGGTTACGCCCTTAGTAGCTCCAGGATGCATCCCACTTGCGCTCACAACGGTGGTTGCCAGTTACTTCTTCATGCGCGTATTGTCCTCAGTCAGTTCTTTCAGCTGAGCTTCCATAACTTGACAGCGATCGCGAGTATCTGTAGGAGTATTGTGATTATCGGATGTGGATTCGGATGGCTTATTTTGACGATAACCACCAACATGGGGTCTCCTGCTCAAGCATTCTGGAAACCTGGCTGCGTTGTGCGGTATCCGGCCTGTGCACTTGAATGGACACCTGGCTTAACGGTCTGAAATTCTGGTGGTGGAGGTACTGCTGTTGTGATTGTATATTTCTGATCTGGCCCAGTGTTGGCGTAGCACTGACATGTGTTAAACATAGGCTGCTGCGTGTGTGGGTGAGAATAATTCCTGAATTGACAGTTTGGTGCACTTGCATTGATTATATTACCCCCTGCGAATCACTGTGTCGGATTTGGATCGCTTTCGTGTTCAGGGCTATTTCCATTCGCTTGTTTGTTGACCGTTCGGGGTGATTGGCTCTTCGCTAGTATCAGTGCTCACTCGACTGGAAGGCCTAGTTACGGGCTCGCGGACATTCCAACGTCTTTGTCTATCACTGCTCATACCAGAAATTTGGAATCAACATTTAATTCTATAATCTAAATGTCAAGTTTGTAACATGTACACGACTGACCCCTAGTTTCTATATGATGTACACAATATTGTAGGCTTACATCATAGGACTTGTTACCTGATGCTACAATATTTTACCATAATTGGCAATCTAAAAAAATTACCAAGCATCTATGACCTGTCATTTCTCTACGGTTTTGTTTATCCTGGAGTAATAAAATTCTGCAGTGTTGTATCTCCCCGGCCGGACATGCCCTCACATTATTCTAATTGCAACATATCTTCATGTGTAACTATCTAAAGCTTCCCTTTACCTATATCGTTAACCTAAATCCTAAGTTCGATCACAAAGGATCACTGTTCAAAAGTAATCCAGAATGAATAAATCATGTCTCCGATAAGGGGACTGAAAGTTTCAATTACGTTGTGGTTATTCTTGTATTTTGTCCCTCAGTTAAATAATCTGGGCCCAACTTTATACGTTAACGTGGCATGAGCCAATAAAACGTAAATTCATATCTTTATATACTTAGAACGTCTACATTCGAACATCAACAGGAGACACAATACGCAAGTTCAATACGTGTTCTAAACGCAGACTCGTATAAGCTCTAATTTTTGCTGATATGATCCTGAAGGGTCTCACAAATGGCATATACGGCGATAGACAAATGGGGGGAAAAGCAACATAGTCTGGAGGGACTTCCAAGCTCACGCTTTCAGTACTAATGTAGGCACTATTTATTCGAGAGCTCGCGACGAAAGGTGCTCGGTTGACACGAAAGTGGCGCGCCAGATATCCGGCAGTGGGTTTCCTAACGGTCGATCAGTTTATGCAGTTTTAGGTATTTGCGCCACAGGGGTTTTCAACCGCAGTGCCAGTGTTAGGGAGGAAAAGCACAAAGAGAAATAATAGAAAGCCCAAATCACGAGGAAAGGGACAACACAAGAAGGTAGGAAGTTAACGCTACTGAGGTACAGTAGCCTGATACTTAGTACGCCATGTGTAGCACTGTAGAGGGTATCAATAGGGAGTGCAATTTAAGGGCAGAGAAAAGCATATGAAATTGCATGTAGCAGATGAAATCGACATGTATTGGGCGAAACGACGTGTTATTTCGAAAATCGTGCTTCGTATTAGCCAGCGCAAAGAATAAATCCACGGATGAAACATACAAACACATGCAAACATATAATTGACATGAAAAAAAAACAGATATAACGATAAATATGCAAATACTGCAGAAGCAGATCACGTGCACAGACACAGATGCGGATACACTTAAGTAATTTTGTAGCAAGACACAACTACAGCGCACAAAATTATCAACAACGAAGGTACCATAAGTAAACACAAGTGCAGGGACATCCACAATATGTAGATGCTCAAGAACAAAACACATCAAGTAGACATTTATACACACATACAAGAAATTATAAAGATACACACAATATATAATATGGATACTGACTGACAACAGTTAAGAATCACTTACTTCGAAAACACGGAATTTCGGTACTCAACACGAGGACATCTGAAAAACCAAGAACTAAGGCTGACGACACAGTGAACTAAGTTTACAAGAAGTCATCAAATAAACAAATATAAACCAAAGTTTATCAACTCGAAACATAAAACCTCTACACAAACACAGGTGTCAAGGAGTACGTCAGTTCGATCAAATCAAGCCTAATGAACTGTATTCAACTTCCACATAGACACCACAACGAAGGCCAACATAAAGGTAAACTTCCATATGTAACACGGAACGTGTGAATTCAAGGGGATACTACTTTTAGGTGGGAAAATAGTGCAAACAACAAATCACGAATTCTAACACTACAATGAACATTGAACACACAACAGTCAACGTCTTCTGCTCCTTATCAAAGGATCGAAAGTCAGCACGGGGGAGCCTACGCATACAAGTGAGCTCGAGCCGTACACAAACAAGAAAAAATTACAAGTCGAGCCAGGACTCGACCAATACAAGTACACACGATGCCAGTATCTCAAGCCCCATTAAAAAACTTCACTCCAAGTAATGGAGAAAGAGCTATGCAGTTGGACGATCAGTCCACACCAGGGGGTATATCATTTAACTCAACAACTGTGCAACGAGAAAGTTCAATGAAACCATCGATGAAAACATATACGAGGGCAACGCGTACATCATAGGCATATTAGTAGACACGCTATACGCATAGAAGGCGGACGAACTCATTGATGTACGAGCATTCCACAAAATCAGAAACTTTGACCCATAAAAATGATACCAGAAGTGGATCAATGGTTATCAGAGCTATACAATAAAGCTGTGAAGAACTTTGATAAAAGTGATCAAGATGAGCTAATTGCAAT